TACTTGTTCCATTTTTAACTTATACTCTTAGTTGATTGTTAAGTCTTAGTTTTAGTCCCAAGTTCATCATTGACATCTTGTAAGAGTTTAAGATGAATCTTTTGCAAAGAAAATTAAAAAATATTTAACTATTTTCTATTCTAATGAAAAATAAAATTTGGCACATAAACTATTTCTAAAATATCTTAAAAATTCATAGATTTACACTCAAATATTTATATATTTATTGACATTTGTCAACAAATTTTTAATATAAACATCGGTAAAGCCCTATACAATATATGACGATTACTAAATTAATGTGTTTACTCATTTTATTTATTAATGAAATTTTAAGATAGGGAACAATTTGTAGACAAATATGATGAGTTTTATTTTAAAATTGATCAAAATATAAAAGATAAAATTGAGTTTTGCTCTTATTATTTCGAATATTTGTAGTAACTTGTAATAAATATAAAATAATGTGTTTAAACTTACAAAGATCAACATATATTTTATGGAGCTAAAATTTAGATACTGATGGATACATTATTTATTATTTTAACACACGAAATATAATCTCATTTCTATTAAGAGCTTTATAAAATTTAAATTTGTTAAAGTCAATTAGTAAATTTATAAAGTGAGATTTTCATTAAAATTTGAAAACATATTAGTAGATCAAACATTTACTTGTATCAAATGTTCTCTATTGTTCTTATTATGTGGACTATATTCATATGAGTTTTAGACATTTATATATATATATATATAGAGAGAGAGAATTCCATATTTATAACATAATTGCAACAATTCAAACTCTAAAGAATTTTTTTTATAGCAATTTGATACTTTCATTTGAAAATTAGTTATTGGAATTATTATTTTAGATTTTTTTTGTTCTCTTTTCCAAAATTTTGGCTTATTTTAGCCTAAAAAAATTGTTTATTTGTAAGTTTATACGATGCCAATTGGATTAGAATGTTTAGAGTTGTATTTAACTTAATTTCTTGGTTGGCATGTGACATTGGGATTAGTTAATGGCAAAACAAAACAAAACAAAACAAAAAAAAAAAGAGAGGGAGGCAAGTTGGTTACAAGAACCATGCAGACGACTGGTGGGGAGATAGGACTTTGTTGGGTTCAAGCTCAAGCCAGATCAAAGTATGTTATGAAGGATATCCCCCTCCCCCATCTGTTCTTAACCCAACTGCTTTAACGTTTTATTCCAATCTCCATATTTCAATATGTATGTATATATATATATATATATATATATGTGCGTTTTTGTGTGTGCATGTATTCTAACTCTCCTCTCCTTCTTTTATATGTATATCTATATAAACAATTCTACTACAATGGAGAGCGAGAAATATAGAATCCTTTTAGCCATGGTGGCTGCCTTCCTTGTTAGCCTCAATTGTGGGTTTGCTTCAGTAAGTCCTATGATTCCTCATAATGCTCAAGAAAGAAAACTGGCAGAAAGTATAAAAGACGAGCAAAATAGCTTATCAACTTACATCATCCATGTGGAGGAACCACAAAATGGTCTTCGTACAGTATCAAACTTGAGAAGATGGTACGGATCGTTTCTACCAAACACTGTCTCAAGCGTAGGCCTACAACAACAACAACAACGTATCGTCTATTCCTATAAAACTGTATTCACTGGATTTGCTATAAAATTGACGGCAGAAGAAGCTGAAGCCCTCAAAAGAGAAAAAGGGATTCTGTCAGTTCGACCTGAAAAGATTTATTCTTTGCACACCACTCATAGTCCAAAACTCTTGGGGTTGAACCAAGGATCAGGATTTTGGAGACATTCAAATTATGGTAAAGGAGTGATAATAGGTGTTATAGACAGTGGAATTGCACCGGGGCATCCTTCATTTAACGATGAAGGATTACCCCCACCACCTGCAAAGTGGAAAGGAAAATGTGAGCTTAATGGGACCGCCTGCAATAACAAGTTGATTGGTGCACAACGTTTTGAATTGAGTAGCTCACCAGTGGATGAGGAAGGACACGGAACACACACAGCTAGCACAGCTGCTGGAAACTATGTGAAGGGTGCTAATGTGTTTGGTCAGGCCATTGGAACAGCAGTTGGCATGGCTCCTTTGGCTCACTTGGCTATATATAAAGTTTGTGGCATATTTGGCTGTCGTGAAAGTGGCATCTTGGGGGCAATGGATACTGCCATTGGTGATGGTGTCGACGTGCTTTCGCTTTCACTTGGTGGTGGTTCCATGCCTTTCTTTGACGATAACATTGCAATGGGTGCTTTCCGAGCTATCCAAAGAGGAATTTTTGTGAGTTGTTCAGCTGGTAACGAAGGCCCTCATTTTGGTACTCTATCAAATGAAGCACCATGGATCCTTACTGTAGGAGCAAGCACCCTTGACAGAAGCATCAGAACAACTGTAAAACTTGGAAACGGAAAAACTTTTGATGGAGAATCAGTTTTCCAGCCTAAAAATTTTCGTTCAAAGTTGTGGCCTCTTATTTATCCGGGAGCAAATAGTGACAAATCAGCTATATTTTGTACTCCCGGATCACTTAAAAAATTTAATGTTAAAGGCAAGGTAGTGTTGTGTGAGAGAGGAGGCGGTTCAGGAAGAATTGACAAAGGCGAAGAAGTGAAGAACAATGGAGGTGTTGGCATGATTATTATGAACGATCAACTTAATGGTTACAGTACAGTAGCTGAAGCTCATCTTCTTCCTGCGGCTCATGTGAGTTACGCAGCAGGAACAAGCATCATAGCCTATATTAACTCAACATCAAAACCAACAGCCACAATCTTGTTCAAAGGAACTATTATTGGCAAGGGAAGAGCTCTTGAAGTTACTTCTTTCTCTTCAAGAGGTCCAAGCAGAGCAAGTAAAGGAATTTTAAAGCCAGACATTATTGGCCCTGGTGTGAGCATTGTAGCTGCATGGCCAGTTTCCGTAGAAAAGAACACCACTACCAAATCAACCTTCAACATCCTTTCTGGGACTTCAATGTCTTGTCCCCATCTCAGTGGTATTGCTGCTTTGCTTAAAAGCTCACACCCAGACTGGTCGCCTGCTGCCATAAAATCTGCAATGATGACAACTGCTGATCTCTTAAATCTTAAGGGCAGGCCCATCATTGATGAAACTATGCTTCCAGCCGATCTCTTTTCTACTGGTGCAGGCCATGTTAACCCCATGAAAGCTAATAACCCAGGGCTTGTTTACGATCTTCAACCTGATGATTACATTCCATATATGTGTGGATTAGGCTACAGTGACGCTGAGGTATCAAACATCGTGAAACGTAAAATGACGTGTTCAACAAGCATACCTGGACCGGAGCTTAATTACCCTTCTTTCTCTATACAATTAGGTTCTGCTCCTCAGACATACAAGAGGACATTAACAAATGTTAGCCCAGGTTCCTGGTCATACTCTTCTCAAATTACAGCACCAGAAGGAGTAAAAGTCACCATTGATGTTGCTAAGCTTAGTTTCACGGAGGTGAACCAGAAGGCCACGTACTCCGTAACTTTTAGTAGAGTTGGGAATTCTAGCACTCCATTTTCTCAAGGATTATTGAAATGGGTTTCTACTCAGCATACTGTTACAAGCCCAATTGTTGTTATATTTGCATGACGTTGCGTAAACTCTAAATTGATAAATAAATTTAGGTAAGTTAACCCTTGTAGGCCTAATAAAGTAGCATATTATATCATCCGTTAAATGTATAATAACATATATAGCCCCATTATTGAAGTCTACAACTATTATAACGACACATTGTTTAATAATTATTAATAGTTTTAACTGAACTCATATGTAATTTATACTTTATTATTTTAAAAATGATATATTTATGGTATTGATTTTTTTAGATCAAAAATATTTTTCTCTCCAAATATTTACATCAAAAAATATATTTAAAATCTCAAGTTAGAGATTTTTCTAACACAATATCTTATCGCTTACGTTAGAAATAAAAAATCTAAAAGAAAGCTTAAATGAAAAAAAAGAATGACAAGTGATCTATCTTACTTGGAGGCTCCTATGATTCTTTATAGTTGATATTCAAGATAACAACTTACATCTTATATCCAAGTGTCAATGAAACACTTGTAAAGAATTGACTTGTCAAACACTTAAAATGGAGTCTATATCAATTGCAATAGGTTAGCAAAAATTAAGCTACCTAACCTGTTGTTTATTTATCATTATAATATAATTACTTGTTAAGACTATGGATAACATACGATCAGGTGACTTAAAAGTCTTTGAGAGATTATGTACTTTTCAGATGTTGAATATTATTTTAAGATCAAATATGCCTTAAGAGTCGAATCTATAGTAAGAGCTGAGTTTGACTTCCTAAGCATTAAGGGTATGGCTATAAAGAATGTCCTCATCTCTATTACTATCATTTTCTCTATTTCTCTATCTCTCTCTTTCTCATAATTATTGTTAATATATCATTTGCTTTTATATCTGATTATGACACTTCTTTCCTTCAAAAGATTACTTTTGTCTATTCTTTTCAAAGAAAGAAGAAGATAAATGACAAGAAAGAAACTTCATCTACTGAGATTCTCCTTTCTCAGTGGAATGAGATCAAAGGTTGTTGAGATGCCTTACCTCCTCTAGTTGTTTTGCCTCTTAACATCACTTTAAAAGCATGCACATACTCCAATTAATCTAAAGTAAAGACGCTACTTAACTTAGTTATTATTTTCATACTATCTATTTTATTAAGAGTCTAACTTCACTAAGAGAGTGTTTATTATATGAGGGCCAACAACATATTTACTTGTATGGATTTTATTTGATCAATTTGGGAAAAGACCTCTCTTATATGAGACATGTGGTTGTGGTCTCTAGTTCTTTATCTTTACTTGAGTTTTTTATTAT